AGCACCAAACTCTCACGAAGGTTCGAAATAGATGAACACTTCAATCTAGCAGACCACTATTATAATCTTCATGCAGTCATTGTTTACTGTGGTTTTGGCGTCGATGATTCTAGTCATTATTACGCATTGGTCAAAGACGAAACGGACTGGTGTATTCTGACGATGTCTTGAGTTTATTGGAACCTCTGGAGACACCCTACATTTCATTTTATGAAAGAGAGGACATTGGCAGATCAAGATCTTCAGATGATGTGGTACTGCAGGTTTTTCCGGGTTTTCCTGCAGCTGAAAAAGCAAATGCGCCACTGGAATCAATGAAGTCGCCCCGGAGCGTCAATTAATATTTGTTGTTGTTTCATAATTTCATGATTAGCATAATCTGAAGTCTCGATTACCTAGTGAAAGGACATTCACGAATATAGATCGTTTGACAAATGAAGAACACGTAAAAATAGTTGAAATTTACTACAAATGTGGTGGTTCGAAAGTGGTCACTTTTCGAGCATTACGGGGTGATTATTGTCGTCATAATCAACCTACTGTTATAAAGAAATACGAAGAGACTGGAAACGTTACAGGCCTGTGCATCATTGCAATGTATGCACTGGCGAAAATATCGCTTCTGATTTTTCAAACAAAATTTTCGTCGGCGATGAAGCTCATTTCTCACTCGGTGGTTACGTAAGCTAGCAAAATTGTCACATATAGGGCTCGGAGAACCCAAAAGTGATTGTGGAAAAACCGTTGCATCCGGAAAAAGTTACTGTTTGGTGCGCATTATGGTCTGGAGGTTTCATTGAGCCGCAAATTTTGGAAAATGAGGCAGGAAGAACCGTTACCGTCAATTCAGAGCGCTATGGTCGTATGTTAACCGACTTTTTTGGCCTGCTATTGAAGATTATGAACTGGATGATAAGTGGATTCAACAAGACGGTGCCACGAGCCACACAAAACGACCGATTTTAGCTTTATTTCATGAGAAGTTTCAATAGCGCGTAATTCCACGTTTTGGTGACGTCAATTGGCCACCACAATCATGTGACGCGACTCCGTTAGACTTTTTTTGTGGAGCTACGTCAAACACCGTGTCTACGCGGATAATCCCCTGACATTGGAGCATTTGAAAACCAACATTCATCAAGTTATCGCCGAGATACTGTACGAAATGTACGAAAAAGTGGTAGAATACTACCTCAAAAGGATCGACTGCTGCAACCAAACTAGAGGCGGTCAGTTAAATGACATTGTATTTCGTACATAATGACAATGTTCGAGCATTGTAATGAACTAAAAGTTTCATCATAGTCATAGCTTTATGTGTGTTTTAATTAACTTTACTTTTGAAACCGAAAAATGGATAACCCTGTACACCAATTTTTTACATTTGATAGAAAAGTCACTCCTATCAAATTTCAAGAAAGATAATAGCCGATTTCGATTGGTGTTTGGTTTTGAAGTTGTGTTTTTCAGCACGGCTAGCGTAGGTATCTACGACGAGCACAGTGAAGCATATATAAACCCAATAACATATAAATCAAACCTCGCCATACGAAAAAAACATAACTTTCCCCCACCAGAAAACATCAGACTCATAAAACAAGTCAATAAAGGAAACCGTATGAACATCTGGGAAAACCAGTCATAATTCACCTATCGAGGAACAAATACAAATCAAAACACAAGACTAAACATTCAATATACTCCACAAAACAATACACATTCCTAGAAAGAATGAACCTAGAGAAACACCAACACAAAGATGTAACCCAAGTACAGGCAAATTTAAAGAGACATCCGGATGAAAGGAGAGGACAAATACCTGCACTAAGGCGTTCTAACCGTATAAAAGAACACACAAGAAGATAAAACGCTCAGTTTTAGTAGAGCCATGAAGATGATAGCACAGTCTGCTTTTGAAAGCGCTCGCATATAATAGTTACAAGTTATTAGCTTCAATATATGTATGCATGTATGTATGTCTTTCGCCGAGGATACTAAACGCCAATCTAAAATGACTATCGTCAGTTACTCGTATTTAGATGATGGTTCCTATGCTGAACTCGTGAAAACAACTTTGCCATAAATTCATTTTAACTTCAACAAAATAATACGTAAGAGGTTCCAGATGCCAAATTACTGTCATTTGTATTGACATTAATGTTGATGACTAGCCTCTGTGAATAAACAATCCCAAATGAATCTCGGTAAGAGAAAAAAAGAAATCTCAGAGACTGCAACAGATAGAGGATCAGTTAAATTGTAGCAACAATGTCGTGTCACACTATTAGCTCTACAATATGACTAATTAATAATAGTAATCCCAAGAAACACACATTTTTATAGATTAACAAATATTAAGAAAAGATAAGAATAAAAAATGATTAATAATACATTAATTAATACTCAGCAGAACCAAGTGAAATTAAAAATTTTACATGTTCAAGGAATTTATCATCGACAGATAAAAAATTATTTGTAACAGTTTGAATTTAATAACAGAATTAAGAATTTTTTACGTATTCAGGCAGACTATTGAGTTTTTATTCCAGAACAGCATAATGAATTTTTATTTGGGTAGATTTCAATAGTTTGATTTACTTGTGAAGTGATCATGACAATCAGAATCGACAGTATAAGAAATATTCAAACGTTTACATTTATTTTTTGTCAAATGAATTAAAATACTTATTTTTGTTTCGAACAACGTATTAATGTCCAGTAAATTTCTAGGTTTGAATAATTTACTTGTTGGTTCTAGGAATGGTATGTTATATATACATTTTATGGCTTCATTTTTTAATGTTTTTAAAGTGGATTTAGATTTTTTTTTAATTGTTATATTTTCACCCTATTCTTATTCGAAAAAATTGTTTCAAAAATTGTTATTTGATTTTATGTTCACAAACACTTTGATGCCACAAGACTAGCATCAGGAAACTGCAACAGCGTTATCACTATCAAATATATTGATAGTGTCAAACTTGAATTGCTTTTTTTATGGTATGTAGGCATTTACCATAGGTGTCTAATAAATTGTCCGATGTTCCCGGGTTTACTAGCCGTGGTCTGCAGGTTTTCATACCTGACGTTTCGTCTTCTATTGCGGCAGTTATCAGAGGCGATGCAGTAAAGATCGAAGTGATCGACCTTCCTATGATGCGCAAACTGATAATGCACTAGGCCCATTTTCGCTATAAAAATAACACCAAGTATAAAATTGAATGACAAGTGACAGAAAAGTAAAACAATACTGACATACACGCTCTTCACAAAATTCAACAATCGATTCGGAAATAATAGAAAACAAAACCTGTGCAAACTCTTTAGGAATCCATATTGACATAAACTCTAATAAAATGAACATTCAACAAAATTTTGAAAAAATATATCGTTAGGCTGCTAGGCAGTTTATTTATTTATTTATTCATGTGTACGGGTAATCCCCATGAGGAAAAATAAATATACAAATACGGTAATACCTTGAAAACTTACCTAACCTAAATGTATGTATTAATGTAGACATATGTGGGCTGTTCAAAAAGTAAGGTGAATGTTCAAATTTCGCGGACTACATACATTTATTTAGCATTTTCTTTAGTTTTTTATGTTGGTACACTAGTCTGGAAGATATTTTCACAGTTTCAGCTGTTTAGCATGTTTAGTTTGTTGGTGAGAGGCATGAAATTTAGAAGTGTTTTGCTTGTTCAGCGATTTACTGCTATCGAAAAAAATGGATCAGAGAATTCGCATCAATTTTTGGGTGAAAAAATTAAATTGAGTGCTCAAAAACATTTGAAATGTTGACAGTGGCATACGGTGATTGTACCCTGAGTCAGAAAAATGTTTTCATCTCACTTCTGCAGAAACATAAGAATAAGCCAATGCATGGGGTCTTCTTCAATAACATTGGAGACCTTGGCTTATCAAAGCGCCTGACTTTCGCTTTCCTCAGGTCGAGTGGGCTGGAGTCGGAAACTGAGGGGTTCATCGTGGCTTGCCAGGATGGTGTGGCGTGATGGGTATAGAGGTTCCTGACACAAGGTGCAGGGCCTGCCGCGAGGCTCCCGAGACCCTTATGCACTTGCTATCAGCATATGCGGTCTCGGCCTATATCCATCGACATAACAAAAACAAAATATACAAAACATATGAGGTTTTTTATTTTTTAGTTTCGTATGCTATAAAAGCGTGTTTTTTAGTCTTTTCAAACTGTATTTTATCTAAACTTTGGGATCAATCAGCCGTATATTGTTCAGAAAAATTACCATTAATATTTTCCTATTCTGGAGGGGGAGCCTGAAAATCTGCTACCAAGCCCAAGGAAGGTAGCAGGGGCGCAAAGAGGAGTTACAAATAAGGCAGCAGGCGCCCGTGTTAATAAAACAAATACATTTTTCAAATGAAGAAATACATGTAAAGTGAGTTCGAATTATATCGAGGAGGTTGCCTATAGCACCATCTGCCCGCTAATAGATCAACGAATAATGTCGATAATCCTGTGAAATGCAGATCCCGAGCATTCAAACAAAAGGAGAGTTATAAACAAACATACATACATACATACATACGGGTGAAGGTGTTAAAAAACAAGTGTATTATATCTGAGGGGGACTACTCTGAAGGGGACAAATTAGAAATGATGAATAAAGGAATAGTTTTGGAGGATAATGAAAATTCACCTTATTTTTTGAACAGACAGTGTATATACAATTATATTATTTGTGATCATATTGTTTTTAACTTCATTTGACATGGTATACCATATCGCACAATATATATTATAATCATCATATATGGTTGTTAGTCTTGAAACTAAATATCCCCGTAATTCATTGTTCTAAGTAGTACTTCATCAATATATGGAACGTGTGGCATCTCCAAGCATCGAATCAAAAAATTAGAACCCTACAAATGCTTCAAATTGTTCAATGAAATGATCTCCAGTATAAGATTGTGTGTAAAAATTTTCCCTTTTTTTCATTTGTAGTCACATTTGATATTTCTGAAATAATAAAGTTGCTACAGTTTAACTCTCTATATATTACGGTTTCTTGAATTCTGTTTTTTCAAGTATTCATTACAATTTTTACATTCCGACATCTCTCAAAAGATTTGTGTAATATACATTTTAGCAGATATCATTTCACTTGCGATCGATTAGATCTTGACCTTAGTTGTTGCACAAAAATAATTTAGACAAAAGTCATACTCAGGACTATATGTATTTATGTGTTATGAGATGGGGATTTTACGACCCTATCCTCTTCTGGTGTTCAAATCCCACTTTCTGTTCCATGGTCTTGGCGGGGATCTACGGAAATGCAGTCAATGATGTCCTGATAGGTTTGAATCATTATTATTTGTAACACATTTTTCCTAGGTAGATATTTTTGGAGAACTTTTCAGTTCGTAGTTGAAACTTTCAATGATTTTTGCTTTTTGGGAATATTTTTCTCCATTAGTGTTGTGTTTTCATCTGCATCATCTTTCATGTATATGTAGACTAGTTGACTGAATGTTTATGGTTTTTCGGGTATTTTTGAACAAAATTATTACAATTATTTGGTATCGATTCGCTGTTTTCTGATTCAGTAACAGCAACATTGAATAAAAAAACACCAATGTGCATTTTGGTTCAATTGATAGTTTGAAATGATAGTACGTATACCATGTTTACTTCGAGCATATGATTTTGAGTACAATGTCCAATTTGGTATACAAACTATTATTTGCATGTGAAACTGTATGCATTCTGTCCTTTTTCTATCAGGTTTGCAAAAATTGGACAACCAATTTATACCACTGAAAACTTTTTTATTGTTTTTGCAGTGTTGAATCCGATTCCCTAAGTTTGAACAAAAAAACGTGCTGTCCACTTTTTGTATCAGGTAATTTTAGTGACTGGGACTCTTTATTTTCTAGTTTTGCATTCACTCCATCTCATCATAAAAATGTGTAAATAAATATTCTTAACGATGCCATTTTTGATTTTTTTACACATTTTTTACTATATTAATCTACTACTTCTACTACTTCTACTACTAACATTTTATTTGCTTGTGCCTGTTTATAATTTTCAGTTTGAAGATGTAACAGAAAAAAAAAAACCTTCGGTAATCACATTATTAGTCACAACATTGGATGCGGTGAAAAATAAAAGCAAATAAATCCCTGATTTTTTATTTACAGTAACTCTAGGAAGCGGCACAGTTGAATAACGAAGTTGGACTGAAAAGTTAGTAGGCTAACATAGAAAAAAAATTGATGAAATTTGTTCTATTGTTCAATATAATTGCTTTCGAGGGCGATACAACGATTATAACAGTCATACAATTTTTCGATGGAAAAATTCGCTGGGGTTCAGATCTGGGGAATACGGTGGATACGGAAGCAATTCTAAGCCCAATTCATGCAGTTTTTCCATCGTTTTCATTGATTTGTGACACGGTGCATTATCTTGATGAAACAGCACTTCCTTTTTCTTCAAATAGGGCCGTTTTTCCGCGATTGCGGCCTTCAAACGTTCCAATAACGGTATGTAATAGTGGCTGTTGATGGTTTCTCTCTTTTCAAGACAGTCGATGAATATTATACCATGCTCATCCCAAAATACTGATACCATAACCTTGCCAGCCGACTGTTGCGTCTTTGCACGCTTTGGAGTCGGTTAACCACGTGCAGTCCACTCAGGTGACGATCGTTTTGATTTTGGTGTCAAATTATGGAGCCATGTTTTATCCATTGTCACATATTGACGCATGAATTCGGGTTTTTTATGGTGGAACAGCTTCACTGCATCATCAATTCGTCTCAGCTTTCTCGATCAACTTCACTTTGCGGTCATCCAAAATTAATTTGATGTTTCAGTCAGTAACAGCCTTTGTGGGGCGTCCACCGCATGCATCGTCCATGGTGCTCATTAGACTTAGCAAACCACTTCTCAACGTTTGATTTTCCTAGTGCAAAGTCTCAATAATGTTTGGCAAGCCAAGTTTTGGCTCCAAAAAGCAAGATTTGTTAACGCACGAAAACAGAGACAGGATTGTCTGGCCATCAGTACCACACCGTCAGCGGCCATGGAGATCCTTCTAGATCTCTACCTCCTCCACATTTTTCCGAAGAGAGAGGCTAGATGGACTGCAAATAGACTTGTGCACATTGCCAATTGCACAAATTAATTTATTGCAGAGTGCAACAGACTGTATGTTGACACTGTAAATCACAGCATTCTGAAAATGATCTCTGACTTTATGCCTTCAACTGTCAACTACGAACTGCCTCATAAAATACTGTTCCCGAGTAGAGAGGACTGGATCCTCCGGGATAAGGAAATATTTAGAGCAGAGCTGGTATCTGTAGAGTAGGGAGGGTGAGTGTAAACTCACAGCACTTAGGCCACAAGTGACACATTGTACATCCTCCCGAGGGGTTGTCCTCCTAGGTCATCGTCCATCCTGTCCTTTCCGGGAAGGTGAACAGGTCACTAGGAGACATCTCCTTTATATTGGCAGGTGTAGGCCAAGACTCGCCGAACACACACTCTCTTTGGCAACCTTGAGGTGTCTCACGGTGGCCTCCGCGAAGGTTTTGGAAGATGCAGCGATATTACTGTCGTTGCGCGGCTTCTTCAACCTTCTTGGGGTTCCCTCCGTGGAGGTGCACAAGTGAGGGAGCTTTCCTGCAGGGGCAGCCGGTTCCTTGCCTTTATTCAAGGCGGAGCTCTTGACGCCCGCCACAGGAAGTGTCCTTGCTGTTGGAGGTGATCTGCTATGTCCAGCCTTAGATTGAGGTGAGCACTTCTGTCCAGCCTCGGGATTAGTGCTGTTTCATTCATGTGTGTTTCCACGAGTAGCAAGGGAAGAGTTGGTCATCTCTGGCAGAGCCCCGCATTACCAGAGGTAGGCTGATTACAATGAGGTTTCGCCCAGTTCCCCAAGGGGATCGTTCGTGGTCGCATATTACCCTGCGGCCATTCAGCTGTCGGCACGATTCCTTACACTTTAGCTTGGGTAGGCTGGTCCGCGGTGGCATGTTTTGCACGGGCTTTAGAGGGGGTTTTAGTTCCCCTCACCCTACTTATTTTTGCCACTGACCAGGAGTCTGGCGACCCCGTCCGTAAGACCACATTGGCTTCGCGGACAGGGCCTCCAGTCCTCTGGCTGTTCCCCTATCCGCCACCTGGGGACGCGCCCGATAGGTAGCCCAACCCACGGGTTAAGAGCAGATAGTTGTTGGTTCACAGATGGATCAAAAACACCTTCCGGTTCTGGTGCAGGTGTTTTCAGTCGCAGACCCACGACAGAGATATCAACCTGTCTAGGAACCTATGCGACTGTATTTCAAGCGTAAATTTACGCTATTGAATTGTGTACGGAGAGATTAGGAGAATCCAACCTCATACACAAGTCAATAAAAATATTCTCTGACAGTCAAGCGGCGTTGGTAGCTCTTGGCTCCTACCAAGCAACGTCTAAATTGGTAGCAAATCTCCAAAAACGAATCCCCTCGATAGGACGACTCAACAGATTGTCTCTGGTCCGGATTCCTGGCCATACTGGTCTGGAAGGCAATGAGACTGCTGACTCCCTTGCAAAGGAGGGAGGGTGCTGCAAGCAGCTTCATCGGACCAGAACCTGTCATTGGCGTAGCTTTAGGCTTTGCCAAACACAGATTGAACACCTGGATGGCAAGAAGATTTATGGACTTCTGGCAGCATTTTCCCAGGATTAGCTCACTCCAAGACGTTTATTCACCCTTCGAAGCTTGATACCAAATAGTTGTTGGACTACAGTAGGGATGAACTACGATGTCTAACAGGCTTTCTTACAGGTCACTGTCATTTGAATCATCATATGCAGAGACTCGGACTGTCGGGAGACAGTGTGTTTGGAAAATGATGAAACAGCAGAGCACATACTTTGTGCCTGCCCCGCTGGGGACCGAATCAGGTTTTTAGAGTTCGGCAGAGCCGTACTCTTACTATCTGACCTGGAAGACCACTCACCATACAAACTAATCGATTTCGTTAAGAAGCTGGGTTTATTTAGTGCAGTGTGAATAGGTGTGTGTCACAATAAACCCTTGCGGGCTGTAGCGGAGGTTCGAATAGACCCACTCACTTTGGACCTAACCTAACCTAACACACGAAATTCCTTTTTACCGATTTTCTTCAAATCAACAAAAGTTGTTTCACTCAAAATGTTCTATCCCACAAACTGGCAACTGTGAAATTTGTACACGTGTCTTTTGAAGGTTAGAGTTGAATAAAAAGCACGTGGATTCAATGCTAGTAGCGCCATCTGTGAGTCAGCCTACGAACTTTTCAGTCCACTTGATCAATGATGAGAGAATTGAACATATTCCGTTTTTGAAAGGTGCATCTTGGATTTTCCTAAGATTATATATTTGTTGAATGTTAGAAATTAAGACTTCCATTATCTAAAATTGTTAATTGTTCGATTAAGTTCAGGTCCTCACTTCAAAACAACAAAGTAATTTTCCATTGGCCTGTCCATATTCTTTAACTACTTTTAAGGAGCTCTCTTAATTATTGGATAGTTTTAGCAAAGGAATTTGTGGCAATTAACATTTCAACTGAGAGAGCTCTGAAATATATTATTCATCGTTTTGCGAAAAAAGGAACTTTTTTCGTAACTAGGGAGGAATATTAAAATATAATATATCTTTAAATATCAGATATTCATGGCTGTTATTATCAGTTAAATATCCAGTTCAGTATTAAAAAAATTCTGAAGGTGGAGCAGAAAATTGTTTAATTGCAAATCTGATGGTGCCAAACCAAAGAGAAGAACAAGTTCTGCAAAGTTTCTGGATATTCCTAAAAGTAACAAGGAGACTTGAAAAATGGAATCGACACTTTTTTCTAAATCTGACTAGTTATTTTCAATTTGTTTTCACTAATCGATAGTGTTCCTGAATATGAAACTTTCAGATCATTTGGCTCACCTCGTAACTCCCGAAGTTTGTATGATATGCAATAAACTTGAACCTTGAATTCTACTAGAAAATTGCAAATTGCTTTAGCTTAATGTCTACTCAACAATGTTGTTTATTTGACTGCATATTTTTTCCAAAACGCAAGTATAGATAAATGAAAATCTAATAAGTATGAAACTGTATCATCCACTACTTAAAAATTCACAGTCTTACAACAAAACGGTGGAATTATTATAGAACTTAATATGGTTATGAAGAAAATAAATCAAATCATCTTTGTTTCAAAAGCTTTGCCCGTTTTTGTGAGTCTACTTTAATGTTTAATATGTCAAAAAAAATATCTCAATGAATACGTATTCATTTTAATCGAAATGAACGCCATTTGAATTGGCGTACTTTTGCCAGCGTAACACCACAAGCCGAATCATTCCGTCAGCTCGCGTGCTGGGGATTCGATAAAGTCGACGAAGGTCGTTTTTGCCTGGTCCTGGTTGGCGAAGGTTCTACCGGTGCTAAGTTATCGAAGTGCTCAAGAAGATGGTAGTTGGTTGGCGAGGGGTCTGGGTTAGGTTAGGTCCAAAGTGAGTGGGTCTATTCGACCCTCCATCGCAACCCGCAAGTGTTCATTGTGGCTCACACCTATCCACACTCGACCAAATGAACCCAGTTTATTAACGAAGCCGATTAGTTTGTATAGTGAGTGGTCTTTCAGGTCAGATGGTAAGAGTACGGCTCTGCCGAACTCTAAAAACCTGATTCGGCCCCCATGGGGCAGGCACTAAGTATATGCTCTGCTGTTTCATCGTTAATGAGGTAGTCGGATAGTCAAGGTGCAAGATTCCCACCTTGATATCCGCGACAAACTTTCCATATGAGAGTTTTTGCACGTCAGTTACACCTGACGATGCCTTAGATTCAACCATGCAGGGCTTTTTCACCTTTGGTTTTGGTGAATCATCACTTGAGCCCAAAAGTTTGCTAACCTGCTCATGGGGGGTTTGTTCCTCCACCTGAGACGCCGCTCAAGAATTTGGCGCAAGGCGGTTTCATAAGGTACCCCGCTCTTGAGGAGACGACCCAGCCGTTTCCTGGCTGCACCACCAAATCTTTTTTTAGGTTCAGTTATTGAATCAGGAGTTGGAGAGTTGAGAAGCTCTCGCTCCTGATCTAAATTTGAATGGAGGTCAGTTGGAGTCGTAAGCACGACATCCATCTCCTCTGTGGACTCGCTTCTGATCTAAAGTTACAGGGAGGTCAGTTAGAGTCGTAAGCTCGACATCCATCTCCTCTGTAGACTCAGCGTCAGAAATAATTTTTAGTTTACTCTGTCCATAAAAGTCCCACGAGTAGCTAGGGAAAGAAGGTCAATCACGGCAGAGCCCCGCATTACCGTGACAAGGCGATGCTACGACGGGAGGGCGCCCGGTATCTCGAAGGTTCCGTAGAGACAGCTGATAGGCTCAGTGTCATTAATCCCCTCAGCACGGATACACACACCTTAGGATTAAGCCATCGTTGGGATGCCATTCACTTAGGGTATAACAGAACCACAAGTGATTCTGTCATTCCCTTATCCAGCGGGCTACTTGGAAGCAGGCATCCGATGGCCGGTTTGCTCAACCCCCACATCCCAAGCCATAGCACACGCCAAAAACAGCATACACAGTGGTTCAGGCAGTGAAAGATGAACAAGGACTGCCAACCCGCCGAGGGGTCTGGGTAGTATGGTAGATAAGGCAAAACTTCGACAATCAATTCGTTTAATTTTCGAATGATGATTTGTAAAACGTGTGTTGTCATGGAGCAGGATCTAGCTGCAGTGCAGACTGCTGCTGACGCAATTTCCGGTACATTTTGCCCATTTCCTCAGTTATAGTAAATTACACCAGCCGCTGACCATCATACAGTAACTATGTTCTTTTTTGGTGGGTTTTTGCCTTTGGGAAGTGCTTGGGTGGCTTATCGGTGTCCAACCACAACTTGAACGTGTTCTCTTGTCGTATAGGATCCACTTTTCATCACACGTACACGTGATGATCCGATACAACAAAGAGTCGTTTTGGTTGCGCAAAAGCAATAAAGAACATACCTAGAAACGTGAAATTTCTATCGATAGTTCAAATCGTGGAGCACCTACTTTTCGAGGTTTTTGGCCTTTCCAATGAGTTTTAAACCATCAAAAGCTGCATTGGAGCTGACGCCCAGTTTTTCCGTCATCCCACGCACCGTTTGTGATGGGTCAGTCTCCACCAGGTTCCTTAAATCCTCGATCGGGATTACTGTAGGTCGCCCACTTCTGAGCTCATCATCGGGGCTAAAATCTCTGGAAGCAAATTTCGCAAACCAACACCATTAACATTATCATTGCCAAATATCTGGTTAATTTTTCGGGCTTTTTCGGCAGCGCTTTGGTTAGATTTGAATTCGTAGTGAAAAATTGGTTGAAAATGATAAAGTAATGAGCAAAAAATTTAAATTTGATAAAATTGAACAGCATCAATGTATAGAGTATAAAAATCTCTATCGGTCAGTATAAACCACCACACAGTAGAATAAATATTTATCGGGATATGGAACTACAAAAAGACCTGACATCAAAACGGACAAAACTTTCGAAACGACCTAGTGAAATTCAAAAAATTATAACTAACTGCTCATTATTTTTTTGAAACAAGGATTTCAAACGTTGAGATATTTTCTCATATCTAATGTACAAGCTATTGTGAGAATTTTTTCAATATTGTCTGTGTCTTTAAAATCAATTTAGCTATATCCTTCAATACATATCATATATTGGTGTAATACAGACTAGTTTCTTTCACAAAATAGTAGTAGAAGCATTGAAAAAAAATTGTTTATATGGCCACAAAGCTTTGAAAGGTACGAGATAGTTCAATAAATTACACTAACGTTTAGTCTCCATATTTTTCTGTGGCATTGTAAAATGTTGTCACTTCTTCACTTCTTACAAATATAATGTATACAGTGCTTTTCTTTAATGTCCCCCTCCCTTTTATTTTTTGAACAGGTCAACTCAAAAAATTAATATATGGGATAATGAAATTAATGCATGAATACTTTATTTTGAAGTGAAATTGACAGATGAAACTTTCAATATGGCGACTGGGGACCTGTTCAAATAATAAAAAGGGGGGGGATTGAAGAAATGTACTGTATTTAGTTTCATAATAATGAAATTTTTGAATACATTAGATAGTACCACATTACTCTCCAAAAAAAGTTTGTGGTTGCTTGCAAAAAAAGTATCACTAATAACAAGAGATATTCCATTTCTCTTCCTCTACGTTTTTATGGTTTATCTCTTGAGTCAGTCAGCTCTTCAAAGGGGTTCTTGGTTTGAAAAATCCTTCTCTTCTTTCATTCAACCTGAAAATTTGTCTCTGCTAATGCAACTCCCGAATCAACATATCACCGTTCACTAACAGTTTTTTCCACTAGGAGTCGATTGGAAATCCCTAACGATTTCCGCTTGCCTACCGATCACCACCGATTATTTCCCCGACAGAAGGGCCCTCAACATCGACTACGTTGTATCCTTGTACAACCTTCTGCCTGACAGCGTAAACGCAGACTTTGCGCAACAGCACTCGACGTACAAGAGGCCTTTGACGACGGTGGAGGTGTTCAGAGAGCTCGTATCGCAACGTTTGTCCCAAGGCTTCCAGTTGATCCTAATGGCGGATCCCAACATCGATCTGAATAACATGATGTCGGTTCCGAACCCGAAGATGAGGGGTTCCGTTGTGAGTAAGAGGCAGACGGAGAACGACGAGAGTTACTTCTTGTCCATTGGAAGGTTGTTTCACATCATATCGTTGTCTGGGAATACCATTTCTGTGACGAGATACCGACCAAGGTGGGTTTATAACGAATTTTCACCGGAAAGAATTATGCAGCGTGTCAAACCTAGAAAGAGACTTGAGAATTGTCTGATATGGGCGGGCACATTAAGAATTCTCAGGTTTCTTCTTAGATTTTACAAGCTCTAATATTTTTTTGTACATTGCATTAACCACTAAACATTGCGGAGGTAAATAGTTCCTCTCCCTCTTAACTTTTGAACAGGGCAAGATATGAAAAGAAACTATTTTCAGTAATTTTTGATGCGAAAGGCAATGGGGACAGACCGGCGAGAATCAGGCTTTCAACCAACTCATCACTCAACTTGAAACCACTTCTTTCTAGTTTTTTGGAGGTGTCTATTACTTGATTCACATAATGTTCCATCGAGTCACAGTTGTCGAATCTCAACGAAATTAACTTGCGTAATAGTCCGATTTTTCTCGCAAATCCTGAATCTTCATAAAGTCTTCTTAAATTTTCCCAGACTTCTTTCGCAGACACTCATCTTTCACGTGTATGAAGAGTGGCGGATTCAGCGTTAAAATCAGTTTAGCTTTAGCCTTACTTATCAAAGCTGAATCGGTTTCGATTCCATCAATGCACTTGGACAGTCCCTCTAGGATAAATACGGTTTCGACCTCAAACGCCCAATCTGAGTAATTTTCACGGCCAAGCAACTTTGACACACTGTTTAAGTAGTTGATAGCCATTTTACACTAGAAAAAACCACGCGGGACTGGGCCCATAACCTGTTATATATGCACTTTTGAGCAGGAAAGGAAAGCAATAATTACTAGCTCTGTTGAGTTCTGACAACAACTAACTATGTTTTTATTTCAACATCTTTGACTTTCAAATAGAATAACAAGTACATACAGTGGAGGGGATGAAGTGACCAGCAAATCCTTCATGCAAACAAGTAGTATTGGTTGCCTAATAATATGACTCAAAGCTATTGTAATTTAACATGACATCACTCGCCCCAAAGAGGGCGCTTTCAACTATTTTTAGAAAAGGGGTCTTGCGATCCCTCGCTCGAAAGGTATTTCAATTTTCTATACAACAACCTCGACTGTTTTGAATTTGGAGTTATTGATGTATGAATCGGAGACTCGGAAAAATGATAATTCGTAACTTTGCAACCAAAAGCGGATTGATACAGCTCCAATGTTATCACAGGTTACAAAAGTTTGTAATGTGTAAGATAAATAACTTGTTTACTGAAATTAATTGTATTTAGAATGAAATTGAATCAAAGTTTTTGACAAAAAAGCGCATTCCTGATTTTAATCCAGTTTGGGATTTTTTATGATGCCTATGTAGATAAGTATCCACAACATGTTAACCCAGTAACAGAAAGTAATATATGATCTTGATAGCTGTCACTATTGATACTGATAATTCGCTTCATTCAGTTTCAGTCAAAGCAATTTTTCGGTTTTTTTGGCCGTGTCTTGCAGGTTTTGTCCCACATATCTAGAGGATATTCTACTTGTAATTCATATTTGTAAAATCTTCATAAAATCATTCACCCTCGGATTCAAGAGATTGTAGCCAACAATCAAGATGAATTCGTGAATACAGTTGTTATCCAACAAGATTGTGTGCTCCCACATTTCTTAGGCCGGTAAGGTAGTAATATAGCTAGGAGAGTTCCAGCTCAAAATCCAATGTATTTTCTTATGGCGCTTCATTCTGGCAATTTTACGACTTTCGATCGGAACCTTGTGGAACACCCAACTCAATGTAGGTGTGACGTAGCCGTCCCCACTCCTACACTTTTGCCGTTATTCAGTCAACCAATCAGAAGCTACCGCGCATGCAGCGGAAAATTCAAATAAGTAGATCAAAAAGCGTGTTCTGGCTCACTTCAAGGTCGCGCGTCGTTGGTAGGTGTTTCAGGGAGAGACTTTAGTGAGTGGGAGAGAGAAACGTGTGACGTAATCGATGCAGAGTAGGATGCAATGAATATGGAAGGGATTCAAAGAGCATGGCCCCCCTTGTGACTCCGCCTCAGCCCTCGGGACTTCTTAGGCCTTCACCCCTCGGGTCCCCTTGTCACGTCATTCCCATATTGATTTCAATTTAAGAGCCACCGGTATACAGCTGCCCGGTACTGACGATGCCCATTACCGGTACATTTTATTGTGACATTTTCATTGAACAATTTTACAAAAACACAACACTTGTTTCGCCATACAATGACTTGTTCGGGCGTGTCTTTACTAACTAAATTCCACATATTCGATGATTTATATAGGTATCTATTTTACAAGAATGAAGTTGGGCGTAGTAAGTCAAATTATGACTTTGATTAATATTCTGTAATTCAATATATTGTAATGTAATCATAACATTTATTTCGTCAAATTATATCTAATCTACTTACAATCCTCTAGGGGGGGTACGTGTCCCTGTGCCCTCCCCAAGATCCGCCACTGGACATACCCAGGCATGTGGATTGGGAACACCCTGCTCATTCACCGAATTTGAATCTTATCGATTTTTTCCTTTGGGGCTATATCAAATCGAAAGTTTATGATACGCAACCTGGGACAATATGGGAACTTAGAGGCAGAATTACCGAACCTTGTACTAGCATTACCTCAGAAATATTCCAAAATGTTAGAAGCGAGTTTGATAATAGACTGTTTTGCTGTCAGGAGTTTCAAAGAGAACATTTTGAACATTTGCTCAAATTATAACGAGATTGAAATGAAATGCTACCATATAAAAATCTGACATAGGGTGACATAGTTACACAGTTCCTAGACCCAAATTCAAATATCGATAACTCCACAACCGTTTATCAAAATTGAAAAAGGTGAAAGCCATTATATAGTTAATTGAAATACCTTTCATACGAAATGTCACAAGACCCCTCTTTGCATTTGAAAAAAAATGTAAAGAGAGGTCTTCAACTCATGAACTTCAAAAGTCACTTCACTGACTGACTTACTTTCCTCATAAATAAAAAAATCTGGAAAATTTCATTTTTAGGCATCCATATCCAGGTTTCAACTACCAATATCGCTACAGATTTCACGCACCTTGGCATGACACTTATGAAGAGTCTTACGCCACATTCACAACTGAAAAATTAGAGCATTACAACTGGAATTATCTAGATCACTATGTTTGTACAGGAGGCGATACAGAATTCGTTTTGGTGGATGCACTGAAATATTGGCGGTAAGTAAAAACCCCTTNGGATTCGATGAATTTTTGAAACACCTTATTGATTATATCAATTTTATATGCTCCAGGTGGAATTTTATAATGGTCGGAGGTGAGTTAGCATCTTTAGATCACGCGATAACATTATTTTTCACATACACATTAAAAATGGAGTTGTAGGAATATAAACGGTGTAAGCCCAGACCGTAATTAGTGCCAATACCCATTTCGATGGGTGGGTAGAAGTTGGCGCTCAATTCGCTAGAGTGAGTGAGTCAGTTACTCACAAACGATCTAACTATACACAATAGATAAATTTGGGCGAAGGAGAGGTGGTGTTAGTAAACCACTTGTTGGAAAATCGGGTGGTGTATTCATTCTCACAAAGCATGGTGATTAATGGCATTCAGAATAAGTGGTTGCAGAATGTTGGTGAAACTGTAGACAGTAAAGACTCTGTCACTGAAAGATATGTTGGGGATCATGTGAGCAGTCTTACTATAGTATGGTGTTTTGGACACTTACCATAGGTAGGGAATTAGCCACCTCGTCAACCTGATTTTATGCAATGACAAACTGTCCAGCCGTACTTCATACTCTCGGAACGCTCGAATTTACCATCTCCACGGCAAGGAAGCTGTATGCCAGAGAAAGGTGTTTGGGAAAGTCCGAAACGCCTTGAGTATGCCACAATGATAAACTTCCTGTTTGAAATCGAACGGCTGTTCCCAAACAGGTAGAAAGTTGCTTTGGTTAACTAGATGTTTGTTATAAACCAACCGAATGACAAACCAACGTACATTTTAAACATTTTAAAAATAAGAGAAATAATTTGACAGGTTTACCAATCATTCGCAAGTGTTCATTACACTTGTCAAAAATTTTAGAATATCAAAGTAAGCAACAGAGAACATAATATCAATAACAGTATCAATAAACGAATACACAATTTTAACACAATAAAATCCATGACAATGGCACACACATGAAATATTGGATTTCACTATCATATCTGAGACGCTGCTCACCTGTACTTTATCATCAAATATACAAAACCAAAATAAAAATAACTCATAGCACAATTATTGCAAAGGTAACTAAATTACCATCGTTTCGCAACCATAATACAAAATGTATGACACAATTTTCATGGTCAACAAAGATTTCTACACAAAAATTACACACAAATCATATACGTATAACGTATAAACATAGACGAAAACAAGATATCACTGTATAAAAAATTTGCAATAAACACAGTATAGATATAACACACAACAACCATGGATTCAGTAACTCTTCAAGTCGTAATCAATAAAACAGATGTTTACGCAAAATGGACTTTAGAGGAGGTTGTGATGACACCTTTTATTAATCTTCGGAGGTTGATATTCCCGACATATAGACTCATTACAATTTAGTTAGCAAGAAAAGTTCGGTTTCTCCTTCAGAATGGTACTCACATAAAAATGAAATGTAATACTTCATCTTTCGGCTTCAGTAATAAATTGCTGCCACTTTTCCTTTGGTCGGAATTCACCCATAACACCTGCTTGGATATAACACCTACTTGGATTATTTCGACATCGCGGACTGATTGCCTTCACTCAATTTTACATGTAATCATGTAATTGATACCGGTGGTTATGGGACTTCATTTCCAACTGATTATTTTTTATTACACGTAATTTCACACTCAATAGTTCAAACTGGACTGATTAACTTCGCGTAAACTATCACTGACGGAGATAACTTCACTTCGACGGACCAAACTGGACTGATTACATTTTTACTATTTACTTTCACTGACGGAGAAAACTTCACTTCGACGGACCAAACTGAACTGATTTAATGAAAATTTCGTTTCCGTATTTATAGCACGAATAATGATGCAATAATTTGAACACCTACAATTCGCAGCTGCGCGACTTCCTTTGTTCAACGTGGCTTTCTGACCCCATTATTTATCTACAGCAAATTAGCGATGACAGGTTTTATGACCATTAGACGGATGCTGACAATTCTCATCTTACTCGACGGTCAGAACGCATCGGGGTTTTCCTTTTATTAAGCTAATTGGTGGCGCGAGTCATTTTACGTTAATTGATCAATTTAACATTTCTCCGGGCCTACATCCATCAATTTATTTACTGAATGAATTATGAATATGTTCAATTGAGTAATGTGGAAAAGCGAATTGGCGTTATAACTGAGTTGATATTTTCACTCAGCGGGTTGTTGAAGTTGAACCGTAGAGAACTGAATCCTTAACTTCATCACTTCGAAGAAACCATATAGGAGTAATATGAGTAATGCAAAATGGCAGGTTGTGGAAGAAATACATAAGTCAGCACGACAAAATTTTCACCGTCGAAATACAATAATAAAGGAATTCTCTGTCTTGTGGCAGATGGATTTGATGGAAATGCATATGTACCTATTAATCAACTGTTATTCGAAGTATGAGTGGTCAAGACCATTGAGAAACAAAACTGTTGATTCAGTTACTGCAGCTATGGCGAGTATGTTGAAAAATGCAAAGCTTGTCCTGAGGAACTTACAGTCTGATAACGGTACCGAGTTTTATAATTCAAAATTTTCACCGTTAATGAGGAAGCACCATATCAATCATTACTCAATATTCAGAACAAAAAAGGCTGCAATTACGGAACGAGTTATCACTTGAAAAGTTGGCTTTATAGACAATTTTCACTTCAAGGTCATTACAATTGGTTGAATATTCTTCCTAAAATTACCAGTCAGAGATAATGATCGGTCGGAGCGGAACATCCTTTTTGTGAATTTTGGGTAGTCCATACAAGTGAGGGGGCTTTCCGAAAAATAGACTTGGTGTTTTTTCAAAATCTGGTACAACTTTTTTTCAATTGATGCAGTAGGGTCTCTTACGATCTTCATATATTTTTCTTTCTGAAGCACCTCTTCGATCTTCTGTTCGTAGAGATCAGTATCCATCACAACCGTAGCGTTCCACTTATCTGCAGGTAAGATCTTGATGGTGTTGTCTCTACGTAGCCCGTTCAAGGCTCTTCGTTCTTCATTGCTGATGTTAGAAGTTGGAACTGGTTCTCGATCTAGGTGTTCTCTGATTTTCCATCTGAATTATTCTGCCTCGATTTGATCAATAGGTAAACTGGTGGATTCCACTGCAGTTATTATTTCCAAAGTGGGCACAGATGTTGGTGCAATGGCGAAGTTTAGACCTTTCCTCAACAAGGATTCCTCTATGTCCGTGAGCGGAGAATTGTTATTTTTCGGTTGATCTTTTTGATTTTTTACACATTCTTTCGGGGATTTCAAATCAATTTATATCATATTAGACAATGGAAGTCCGAACTGATGAAATACACCACGAAACATTGTCAACCACCTTCAAACAAACATTGAATACCCGGAACGGACCCGGAACCAGNACCAGCAAATCCGGAATAGCAGAGCATGTTTGGACTCATCAACATAACATCAAGTGGGCTCAAGCTGAAATCATCCACAAAGAAAACACTGGTTTAGGAGACAATTCAAAGAAGTCGCGTATTCGTTTTCCAACAACGCATTTAGCCAAGCTAGCGTAGAGATACGTAACATATGGAAACCTCTAATCAAGCGGAAAACGACCAACTCCCGCCAAACAGTCATCTCCCGCTAAAACCAATGAAGTGGAGAGAGGGAAGAGGAGGTAAGTGAAAGCACTCGAGTGACCTATAAATAGTCAGATTCCAGAGTAATAATTCAGTTATCACCCGAAGACGATTGTGGATACTGACAATCGAAACGTCGTGACGTGACTTGGTTTGGTATCTTTTAATATTCAATTTTCATTTCTTGTTAATAATATTTTTTTTATTTTTCCAATTTTCAGCTTGTATTAATATTTCAATTTTTTTATTTTTTTGGTTGTTGCTTGTATGTAATTTTTTTTGTAATTTCAGTTTTTTGTTCAATAAAAATTGTTGTTTTTCGGTTATTCTTTTTAATTTTTACAGATTATTTTAGGGATTTCCAATCAATTTATGTTATATTAAACAATGGAATTCCGAACTGATGAAATACAAATGTCCTTATACCTCTTCAATATTGTTAGATTGATCAACAATTTGATTTTGGCCGTTGAAATACTCCACCTCTAATATTTCCCACGTCTGAAGTATGTACCTCCCAAACAACTCCATGTTCACTTTCAAGGTATATGATGGAACTGGCCGATACTTGATGAGAATCCATAACTAACGTATTCAAAAAACACTTTATTGTGAGATTTTCACAAAACAGTTTTACAAAAACGCAACACGTGTTTCGCCATACAATGGCTTCTTAAGGCGTGTCTTTACTAACAGTTACCTTGGCTACTTTGTGTAACGCATTTAGAGGTCATTTCGAAGTTAAGAATGGTGGGGAAGGTTCTGAAATCGGCACACTACTACAACAGCTCGTTGAGATTTGTATTCCTAGAGTTACTTTTCGAACATTCTAGAATGAGTAAGGAGTAAAAAGACAATGAATAAAAAGACAAGGCATTTATGAAGTGAAGACAAGGCGTTAATGAGGTGAGAGTTGCTTTAGAAAAAAATTAAGTCGAAAACAAGAACTATGGAGGATGGTTTTGATTATTTCAAAGCGATCGTATCAGTGAAAACTCAACATGAATAATGGCGTACAGTGATGTATCAAATAGATGAAATATTAACTGATGTACAATATTGTTTCATAATTTTTTTTATTGTTTTATAAAACTATATCAATTCATTATTATAGATTTCACTTATCTAAGAATCCACTACAAACTGATAAATATAAAACAGAACATTATATCAAATCTTTTATAACTTTCTGATTTAATAATTTCTTTAAACTTTAATTTCAAATTTGTTTAATATTTTATGGAATGAAAACAAACAAGTCCACTGAAATCGACGGAATCTCTTCTGAAACACTGGAATCCATCTTTTCTTTTATATAGGAGCCATTGACATTTATTTTTAACAAATATATGGAAAATAGTGTCTGGCCAACATCTTTCAAAAAAACTATAATGACCCATTATTTTAAAAAGGCGATGAGACGGACATTATCAACTACCGACCCAATCACTCACTACACACCTGAACAAAGTATGTCTCAAAATATAATATTATATCTGACCGTCAATTTGAGTTTCGTGAACAATTACCTACCCAAGACGCAAGCTTAGCTCTTATTTCCAAGATATCATCTGCTCTTAATGAGAATAAACTGTGCCTATGCGTTTTCATTGACTTGTCGAAAGCATTCGACACAGTTTACTACAACCTTTTATTGAAAACACTAGAAGATATTGGTATACGAGGTGATGCTCTGAACTTGTTCAAGAGCTATCTCGCCAATAGACTTCAGTGTGCAAAAATAGATGACATTTTGAGTGATATATAAGAAACTGTTATAGGAGTCCCCCAAAGTACAAGTCTGGAACCAATTGTATTCAACATGTATGTTGAATCAGGAGCAGGGGTAAAATATTGGGCTTCGCAGATGATACAGCCATTTTTTACAAGACAAATAGCTGGGAGCAACTGGAACATTTAGTTAAATCAGATTTGGTTTTGATTAAAAATTGGCTCGAACATCGATTATTGATAGTGAATCTGGAGAAAACACACTATATACCTTTCAGTTGCAATGATTCTAGCAAACCTTGTTTTTCACTACTGAATATTGATCAATATGTAATACTTCTCGAAGCTAAAGTGAAATATTCAGGACTAATACTAGATCCATATCTTAAATGGGATGCTCATATTCAGTAGGTATATTTATAATAAGTTGCGTTGCATACTTTTTAAATTTGAATTTTTAGTAAAAATATTAACCTCAAAATTTTGTACCATGCACTTGTAGCCAGTCACCTGAGCTACGGAATTGCTTGAGGAACCTACCATACGCACTTTCGCCCTCTTGAGGTGCTCCAAAACAGGTTCCTGAAATTAATATTGTCCTGACTACCTTATTATTCAACTGAAACTCTGTTCAACGAAGCAAAAGTGTTTGATATTCGCCAGCTCTTTTATTATAATATTATCATCCATTACCATAAGAACAGAAATTTCGGTCTACCGTTTCACTTGCACAAAACCCGTAAAAAAATGATCATGTTATTCCCCAGACACAAAAATCAATTTTCCAACACTCTTATACTTACCTGGCTACGAAACTGTATAATACTATTCCTGAGGATATTCACTTGTTTAAAAAAATTTGGATTATTCATTTTTTCTCAACCTAGGATAGTAGTTTCCGATTTTGTTGACATAAAAAAAAATTGAATTCAATGTACATGATTAGGTATTATCATTTCAATTAGGAAACCACACACTATATCGTTTTATTTATATTATATATTTTGTTGTGTTCCAATTATTGTGCCATTTTATTTTACTATTAGGTATTATTCTTTCCATTTATTTGAAAATTTTACTTTTATTTACATTGTATTTTACGTTGTGTAACTGAAATTGCCACTAACGATAGTTATATCTTGAACTCTTATATATCCTTTTTACTATCATTACTGTAATAGGTTTAACTTTATTTCTATATATTATATCTGTGTTTCAATCAATTTTTGAAATTGTATTGTTCCTGTTATACGAAGAAAGTGCTTTTGCACTTATCGTCATTTTTCTTTATTCAACTATTACTATTATTATTTTGTTGTGTGAAATCTTTCAAATGAATGATTAAAGTTGTTTTTATCATTTTATACAATGGAAATCCAAACATTGGACATTCTATAAGAAGCATTATCAGCCGCATTCTAACGAAATGTCATTCACATATCTTTCTTCCGGTCATAAACAAAAGCAAAGTAGTCGTACACTAGTATGAAATAACTACTTTTTCGGCGGAGTTAACCATTTTGAGGCTTTGAGCGGCAGGTCTATAGGGCCCATTACGCGTTCAGTAATAATGTCATCCCAGCATCATTATTAAAAATGGTCCTGTAACTCCCTGTCATTATTTTTCGTATCTTACATGTTCATTATTACTGATATTTTGTTTTCATCATTATTATGTTTTGGGTGGCGTAGAAATCACTTAGACTGTGTTTTTATCGATTAGGTATGGATTTTATGAAAAAAAGATGTCTAGCTATAATTATTGCATTATAAGTATGAACCGTTCTGTTAAACGTCGTTACTTAATGAAGGAATGGTTAAAAAACGCAAAAACTATTCACATTTAGTGTTACTGAAGGAAATAAGTGATACGAAGGAAGTGAGTGATTATAAAAATAATTTCAATTCTAACACGAAAAAATACGATTATGAGGAACATTTTACCAGATAATGAAAGATTAGCTTCAACTCTGAGATACCTAGCCACTGGAAGAAGCTTTGATGATTTGAAATTTTCAATGCAATGTCACCGGCTTCAATAAGTACAGCTGTTCTTGAAATCTATGAAGTACTTATATCTGTACTTCAAGAATATACGTTGCTTTTTATCATTTAAACGGTCAGTGACGGATGTACGAAATTATACAAGAACTGATATTCGAAAGTAATTTATTGAAATGAAACACGTATGCTGGTGATTTACAAAATAAAACTGAAGAAAAAAATTATAAGGGTGTAAAATTAGTATAAAATGTCCTCAGTTCATCTCCAACATGTGACAATTCTTCCTTAGCTTTTGTAGTTGATGAAGCTAAACAGAGGCATTTCTTTGTGGATAGGTGTCCTCATTTATTCTTACGGAGTATCTGTGTAGATTTCCCATAGTAACCTCAAACAAGATATCATTTATTGCCTTTTCAGCAAATAAACGTTGTTGGTATTCCAGTGTTTGTAGCTTCTCACTCCATACTTTTATTACTGCACAGACACTATCTCGAGAAGGTTCTTTTGCCTTCTGAAGATATGTACAAGTCATGGATAGGAGTTCATTCTGTTTGGCAAGGTGCCCAACTTTTCGAACTCTTTTAGGTGGTGGTGCAAATGGCGCCAGCGTAATTGATGATCGAGACGGTCCTGCATTCTGTGGTGCTTGTGATGGAGTATTACTATCTTTATCTGCATTTTGTGACTCATTATCAGGTACAGACTAAAAAGAAAAAACCCATTTAGACTTTTGTTTTAGTTTCCAAGTAAGAGTGAAGAGTGGGCTGGCATCGCGAATGACTTTGAAAACCTACATCAATTCTGGAATTGTTTAGGATCAATTGGTGGAAAACATATCGCTATAAAAAAGCCAGTAAAGTCGGGTTTATCATACAATTATAAAGGATCTTATAGCATTGTATAGCTGGCAGTTGTAAATGCAAAAAAGGGATTCATCGTGGTAAAAGTTGGAGTTAATGTGCGAATATCTGATGGATGAGTTCTATTTCACTCAAAATCTGGAGAACCACTACAGCATAACTTACCAAAACCTATTCCACTTGCAAATGATGAATATTTTCCATGTTTTTGTTGCAGATGAGGCTTTTGCTTCAGGAATGCATTTAATGAAGCCGTACTCTCAAAAATTTGTAAATGAAGCTTGACAAGAACTCAACAGAAGATTATCACGTGCTCGTGTTGTTGTAGAAAATTCATTTGGAATGCTAGCTTTCAAGTTCGGAATATTCCAAAAAGCAATGAATCTCAAAACAAAGAAGGCTTCTGTGGTAACAATGACTTGGAGTTATTTACATAATTTTCTAGCAAAAGAAAGAAAACAATTCTATTTTGATTCGGGTGAGAGGATCTCTGACGAATGTAACCTTGCAAATTTACATAGAAATAGTACCTTGAGCGCGAAAAGAAATTCGAGAAAATGTTTGTGAATATTACAATACTAATGGTAAAATTCAATACGTATGAACTCCCATGGAATCCCAGTACAATAAATATTTACTCATTATACTTTTGTGTAAATTAATAAATATGTATATGAAATGAGAAATTTGTATGTTATTAAAAATTTTCTTACATACCATTTGTGTTAATTTAATGATTTCCCCTTCTTTATATTACTTACTATTTTTACGAAAATTAATAAATAGGTATACTTTTTGCACTCACCTCATGGAACGAAGTGCTTGCGTTGACAGGTTGTTTCCATGTGCAGAGAAATTCTAAAGCGTAGAATACCCACGAAGACGGTTTATATACTTCATCCGTACCATTTCGGGATCGCTTCGATGTAACAATTTTTTTCAGTTCTTTACGGTAATTCGACCTCAACGTGTTTATTTTTCTCCTGACGTCAGGAAGCTTTGCTTCTGGTTTCAATTTTTTGTAAATGACCAACAACTTTTTTAGAGCTGCGTTTCTTTTTGTTTTGTTCTTATAAATATCAAGTGACGAATTCCATAATTCGGGAAGGCTTTCATAAGTTTCTATGAAATTACGAAGAATTTCTTCCCTCGTTGAATCATATATCTCTTCTGTCTGCTGTTCAGCAGACACCTCGCTTAGCCGTACATCAACCACGTCGTTTTCGGTGTGTTCACTTTCAGTTTCACTAGCCCCAGATCCTTCCATCTTACTTCCACAATGCTCACTGAAGTACTGAACTGAGTAATGACGAAATAATGATGCCCTCGCTTTACATTACACGATCATTATAACTGATTGTATCCCCTCTCTCTGCTAAGAATGATGTTCGACAATCAAAAAGGGCCATTACACGTTCAGTAATAATGTCATTCCAGCAGATCATTGCAGAAACAGCTTTACTAAAAATTTTACCGGCATTCCCTGTTCCCTGTCATTATTTTCCGCACCTTACAGGTTCATTATAACTGATATTATTCTTTCACCATTATTATGTTTCGAGTGGCGTAGAGTTCACATAGACTGTGTTTTCATCGATTATGAAAGAAAGAAAGACACATGTCCAGCTATAATTATTGCATTGAGTGTGAACCGTTCTGTTAAATGTTGTTACTGGATAAAGGAATTGATAAAAAACGCGAAAATTATTCACATTTAGTGTTACTGAAGGATATTAGTGACACGAAGGAAGTGGGTGATTATAAAAATTATTTTCGTATGAATGACGACACTTTCAATAAATTATCGCGAATGAACCAACCAGTTCTAACACGAAAAATACGGTTATGAAAGATTGGGTTCAACTCTGAGATACCTAGCCACGGGAAGAAGCTATGAGGATTTGAAGTTTTCAATTGTAATGTCACCGGCTTCAATAAGTACAGCTGTTCTTGAAATATGTAATGTTCTTGAACTGAATAATGACGAAATAATGATGCCCTCACTTCCACGATCATTATTACTGACTGTATCCTCCCCCCTGCAAAGAATGATGCTCGAAAATCAAAATATCCGGATATTTATGCTTCATTTACCTTCACACGTTCATTATTGATGTCATTATTTCCAGGTAAAGACATTATTACTGAATTTTTGATGATTGATAAGAGATGAAATTTATAAATTAATAAATTTCAAGCTACAATACTATAAATAATGTGTGTTTAAAAAATAATGTGAATTTTTATTTTTCAAAAAATATTTATTTATTCATCAAATTTTTATTTTGTCGCCTTCAAGGAAATCCCGCTCATATAAAATACATGCATGCTAGCTTTTTTTCCAATCCACGAAGCAGTTCTGACACCCACTTTTTGGTATGTCCTTGAGCTATCTCAGCGATTCGGATTTATTCTCTTCGATCGTCGCAAAACGCCGTCTTCTCATGTGTTTTGTCAATCTTAAAAACAGAAAAAATGAGAATATTGTAACTGACAATGATGTTCATTGTCGTACTGACATTTTTTGTCGTTTTTATAAACAAAAAATAACTTAACAAACCTTATCGGGTTGTTTGTATTGCCATATGGCAGATAAAAAGGAATATTTGTAGAAATATCGATATTAATGTGTTTGTCTTCAGGAAATTATTAAATGTTCCACCATTTCGTAGTAGGTGAAGATATTGACTTCGTACTCAAGGGTTGTGAAGCATTTTACAGGAGCTTCAAAAAGATGTGTCACAAGATCCCCCTTTTCATTTAATGTTTTTCCCAGATGGCGCCCAATCGCAATCTTGAAAGTTTCATCTGTCAATTTCACTTCAAAATAAAGTATCCATGCATTAATTTCATTATCCCAAATTTAAATTTTTTGAGTTGACTCGTTCAAAAAATAAAAGGGGGGGGAGCATTAAAGAAATGCACTGTATAGATAGATAATTCAACAATGTTTAGTGCTCAAGTTGATTGAAATACGACGATCTTATCCGCACATCATCGAGGCGGTGGTTCTATCCATGCGAAACTAAGAAGCTTTCATCGAAAACACTGTCTAATGTCAACACTGCCTAAGTCAATGACAGAAAAAACGTTTAACACTTCGTTAGCTGGCTGCTGAGTAGCGTAACTCACCAAAGGCCTCAAATGTGGGATGGCCATCCTTGCTTATTTTCTTTTATTATTATTTTTTTTTCCGTAGTGTGCGCTGGTCAGGCCCTATCCCCCGAAGCCCCGATACATTCGGGAGGGCGCGCCAGCATTATCAACCAATGACCACTCCCCATACCGTGGGGTAAGTGATCATTGGGTCTGAGAATCTTGTGCCCTGAGCAAGCGCAGTGAGCCAAGAATGACAGCCTTCTGCATCTGTGCGGCTAAGATTTCGGCCTTAGTGCGGCAAGCCGGTATTATTTTAAGATTCGAGAGTAGAGAGGACATCATTCCACCAAGGACTCCAATAATCAGAACAACCATCTTGATTTCGCCGCACTGCGGGCGTGAAAGGCCTGTTGGCTGCCCTGTAATCCATCACACATTGGATACGAGACGCGTGTTGTCTCGCCGACGTGATTTTAACCTCCATCTTGTGTGCACGCCGTTCAATCGCAGAAGAAGCTTTTCAATATATTGTTTGTGGGAATCGATTATTATTCTCCCCCACTTCAAAGTTATTTCATTTATTCAATGATTTGATGAAATGCCACCAACCCTGTTCCTTTAATATTCCTTTCATTCATAGCATAGTGTGGTTTATACAGGATTTGTGTTGAGAAACTGGCCCGCAAAATATTTTTAAAATGCGATTACACACGTAGATTCGACGTAGTCAGGCGTATTATTCAACGCTACGCTGTGAAAATTATGCGTTGTCTCTTAAGAATTAACGCAGATGAGCGAATGCGAGTGTGTGTGGGGGTTGGCTCATAAGAGACAATGTATACGTATGGTCTTTCATCAGATGCTTCCTTTCATTAGATGTTGAATAAAACAAAGTGTGTGTGAGATATCATCGAAATTTTTTCACCGTTTGAATATGTCATAGAGTATAACATCGTTCAAATGTCCGTCACGGCTTCTCTGGGTGGAGCGCATCCGAAAAGTCCAACTTTCCGGGACTGGGGCATAAGTCAGGCTGAATTTGACGGATGGCATGGGTTATGTTGGCTTTGAGGACCGCTGTGGTTTGTGGACCCAGTCCAACTGGGTCAAATCGCACGATTTCGTGGGATGACTGTGCCCTCAAATCGCTCATGCAGAATATCCTGTTGAAACCACATGTCGTTGGTGTCTAGATTATCCAATTCAGATCAGAAAATGTTGGTAATCATCTATTTATACGTTGACAGTAATGGCCTGGTCAATGTCATTTTCAAAGAAATAAGGACCGATGATGCCGCCGTCCCAAAATCCACACCAAACAGTGACTTTTTCGGGATGCAGTGGACGCTCTTGGATCTCATATAGATTGGTATCGTTCCAAATTCAACAATTTTGTTTGTTCACGTACTCATTCATCCAGAAATGGGCCGCATCGCTGAAGATAATTTTTCGATAAAAATTGGGGTTAGCCAACTGTTCCAGAGCTCATTCAGCGAATACACGTCGTTGTCTATGATCGGTAACCTTCAGTTCCTGGGTCAGTTGAATTTTGTACGGGTGCAGGCCTAAATCACGGCTCAAAATTCGCCAAGTTGTGATCTGCGAATAGGTCGAGTTTTTGTGAGCGACGCGACCCATTTTATTATTTACACGTGTTGTTGAATGCCATATCCGTCTAGGGTGATTTGGCAAAAAGACTGAATAAATGACAACTACTTTGACAGTTGTAGCTTCAACAAGATGGCCGTTATCAATTGCCAAAGTTTGGAAGTCCCTGTTGGAAGACCATATACCTATATTTCAACTACGCCCGTCTCAACTTGGCGCATTGAATTATACGTCCGTGTACATTGGATCCTAAGCGGAAACCACGCTTCAAATTCAACTTTCCAATGTTTTTAGATTTCAAAAATACGATTCAGTTGTTTGAATTTTTGTTGGAGACTATAGCTGAAATATGTCTTTAATTCACGCCATTTGGAAGAGAAAGGTATAAAACTCAATCTTTCATATAGTACTTTCGAATCAGTTGATTCAAAAATTCAGAATAACTCCTCAGTATAACTAATTGCCATTGAATCATTTTTGAATTTGTCTCATATAATGGAAAAACTATTTGTGTTATGATTATGATAACCTTTATAATCTTCTTCCACTTGTTTACAACACATTTTGATGTGGTTTTCCATTACATGTCACAAATATTTAGATGAAACAGTAGAAACACTCACTGGTAAATATGAATAGTCCGTGGTCTTTCTTCATACTCGTCTTAAACTGACTCATATTTTTAAGGTATGATGCTTTCACCTAATAACACATAGCTTTCAGTAAATAATATACCCACTGGCACTGCTTACAATTGACAGATAAACCTTTGACCGAATTCACAACATCTGGTTAGTTTATTGTCGGAGACATCGATGTAAGCTAAATGGAGTTAGTTGTATACTACAAAAATTCAGTCATCTGAATAATGTTCGAATTCATTCGGGTGGTGGAATATTTTGAATAGAAAAACAATTGACAAAAACTTTCCTTTATCATTTCGTTAAGTCTCAATTAGATTTTTTCAAATTAATTTTTTTAAGTAGGTAACAAGTAGGTACTGTAGGTATGAAGGTATTATTGTGGAATAAATTGTAGATACTAGAAAATTGCGAAAGAATAATTTTTAAAAAAAATTGATTCCTAATAGAAAAAAGTTCAATTTTGAGTGAAACAATTACGTGGAAATGATATCCAATTACTGTCACTCAGAGTTTGATACCGATATTTCAAAATGGCTTTCCCAATCAATGAGTTCAAAATGAGAGAATTGTTTTGAATGCATCAACTTCTACTGACAGTAGGCGTATTTTCATTATTTACATTTGGGTATGGATACTATCCTTTCTGCTTTCGTCGATGGTAGATCGCATAGCCCTTGCGCGACTCTCCATGAAATCGATTTCATATTCTACTTCATCATTCAACTACAAGTATTGCGATCAGGACCGGTTCAGTAGTATGGTAACGCAGTTATCAAAAATTTAACAAAGAAAGAAAAGTATAATATTTCAAGTACTCATTCCGAGTGACTAGATCTAGCTGGTAGAGTATTCACAAATGATATATTGAAATGACAATATAGTAGTAGAGAAGACAAACAAACTGAACAATTAAAAAATGGAAAATTTCCCGGTCAAACATAACTGTGTTAAAGCTATTTTCCGGTTTTGTTATCTATGGTCTGTGAGTTTTTGGGCCATCCAAGAAAATGATTAAGGCCTTCGCAGCCGAGGTTTTCAGTGTCACTATTTTCCTGGTTTGAAGGCTGTGGATTTTTGGAATTTATTTCTCACGTTTCGCTGACGGAAGTGGCTAGCTAGAGTTTCATATATCCTAAGTTATTATCTCCGATGACTGGATATTACTGCTGCGTATAACGCGTATTTATGTTGACTCCTCAGATAGTTTGGTCTGCTAATACCTGTATCTGGCTTAGATAAATTACGTAAAGCGTGTTTATATTGATTCAGGTGGTGTGTGGTGACTAATATGATAATACCTGTACCTAGATTTGGTAAATCGTCAATAACGTTCATTGACCCTTCAAGTTCAACTTACCATCCAATTTTACACAGGTGGGCAAAAAAAAGCATAAACACAAATATACTTTCAATAGAAAGGAAAAAGGCATATACATTAACAAAAAACTCTGCTTCCCTGCCATACATCATTCGATGAAGCCAGGCCCACCACCGATGGAATAAAATCAGAAACACAGATACTAGGCGAAGTAGTATATACTGAGATTATAACGAGATCACTGCGTCCGTTACCTCATCGCCTTAGATAATCTCGCAGTTGTGGATGAAACGTAAGGCTCAAAAACCTGCAGATCACGGTCAACAAATCCGGAAAATAGCTTTGGAACTAAACGATGTTTAGATTTGTGTGACTTCGAAACTTGGTCAGTCATAGCAGATCACTAAGAAGTCTTCTTCTCACCTGCCACAAGTGAAAAATCTTGAGGTTGTAATAGTGACAGGCTTGTCATCTTTTCTAAAACACTTCGTCTTCTCCACCTTGATAGATCATAGGATTATTCA